AGCAATATACAGGGCAGGGCATGTAACAGGCTTCCTTGGTGGAAAACTTTATAAATACCCTTTTTTATCTTTTTAGCAAAGACCTGAAAATACTTCTCCTTCTTGACAATCCTGCAATGAGATGGAAAATATGTAATAATGCTCCACTTGTGACCCTTAGGAGCAACTTTGTTAGGACCTGTAGTAACATCATTTTCTGTGGTACTGACCAAGATAGGGTCTGGCATTTTGTTAAGATCGTCTCGTTGCCACCTCAGAGGAATTCAAACAGCTCTTAATTTCACAATAAAAGGCTGAGGCCCCTTCGTTCTAGTTCACTTAGCTTCAGTACCTGTATCATAGTGTTGGTTTGAAAAGAGCACCTGCTATGTCTCATTCACACTCCATCGTTAGCCACGTTAACCTCCTTGACGATCATTTTCTTCACATTAAGAGGGGCACTTCTGCTTGCCCAAGACTGCTCTACCAGTGCTTTAACCCACGGTTTCCAAACCAGTCTGCCCATAAGTCTTTGCAAATGAGGCCTACAGAGTTATTTTTTAAAACTCCTCGGGTAATTCTTATAGTCTAAGGAGCATAGACAGGTCCTTCCTATCTGTTCTAGATCCTTAGCTCCCATCAGTTGCCTGGATCTCCAGCATCTCTGTCAGCTGCTTCCCTCAGAAAAGGAAATTGGCCAACTTGTACCTTTCTTCAGAAAACAAAAAACCAAAAACTGTACCTTCACTTAACCTATCTTTCTAAAGAAACCAACTTTGGGACTAGGGATGTAGCTCAGAGGTAGAGCACTTGCCCAGTATGCACAGAGTCCTGGGTTTAATACCTGGCAGAAAGGGATGGAGGAGGGAGAAAAACTTCTTTCTGATGCACATTCGGTAACGCTAGATTTATGTCGTTTCATACAAATGGAGTCATAGAATGTTTGTGTGTCTTCTTAGCCTCAGCATGATTTTGAAATCCATCCATGTTGTGTATATCAATTGTCTGTTAACTTTTATTACCGAGGGCTATATTGTCCATCCTGTTTTGTAACCTTTATTGCCAAGTCTCTTCCTAACAGATCTGTTCAGTATCTCTACTGCCTTACTTGTATCATTTATTCTGCAGTTATTCCCATTTATTTTGGCTGGTTTTATTTCCGTGAAATTGTTCCTTACTAAGATAACCCCAGTTTGTTAGATTCCTGGTCACTATTATTTGACTTTTTTGAAGCATTCTCCTCAAATTTGGCAAATCTTTTTTTTTTTCCTTTTTCTTCTTTTTAGTATGTTTGTAGTACATAATGACTGCATTTTTTGTGGGGAGTTGGTACACATACATAATACATTAGTTCTTTTCTCATCCCCTTCCCCTTTCCTGCCTCCCCTACTCCCTCAAATCATTATCATTCCAGAAAACCATTTCCTCTTTCTGTAGTTATAATAGTGGTTGATGACGCCACCAGTGTACTTGTCCTTCACACCAGACACCCAGACGATTTCGACTTTCTTTTCCCATCACTAAATTGTGTTTTGCCCCTTAAAAATTCCCTCATCGCTGTCCCTTCTCCATCTGTTTCCAGAGCATGCCTTTTGTTTGGCCCCCACTCCACCCCACCCTGTTTTTCTCTTACCTGGTTTTCAGAGGTCCTGTCATTAGTCTCCTCGTCTTCCGCCTTACTTTCCTCCATTTCAGTCCATCTTTTCATTGTGCTAACATCTAATCTTAATTGTTCTTCACGTAAAAGCCTTTTCTGACTCCTGCTACCCAAATTTCTTTTGATGGCAAATTCACAACTTTTAAGTCATATGTTTAATCTTTTAAGTACTTTGTTCAGCATTTTACATGGACTTTCTTTTTTTAATCCTTGCAAGTCTATGAGTTAGGTATTCCTATTTCCATTTTACAGAGGAGGAAACTAAGGCTGGGAGACAGAACAATCACAGAACTGATACATGGTGGTGGCAAAATTTGAATCCAGGTGTGATTTTCGGTCCTATACTTTTAGCCACTGTAACATACTCCCTGTCTGTGAACTCTGGCCCTCTCTTTACTCTGCATGCATCTCACGGTCCTTGTGCGACCGCACTGTATTGCCTTGTTGTGCAGATCTGTCATGTTTCTGTGCGTTTGCACATTTACTCTGTTCTCCTCGACTGACCCATCCTTGCCATGCTTTAACACAATCACGATGGGGCTGTTAATAACCGCTGTCCGTCAGGCGGCTTGTACCACTCAGTGTGACGGTCCTGTGCCGTGCACCGAGACAGCCATGCCTGTGCCAGCAATGGTTCAAGCTGGTGGGAACATATAACGCAAGCATTTCCTCTCCTTGAAGTCTTCCTGGGCTCCTCCAGGTCAGGGCACTGTTCTACATATGACTAACTCTATTATATACACTTAACCTGACATCACAGAAGAAATGAAGAGGTATTTGTTCTACTGCTTCACAAAGGTTTTTTCAAAGTAAAGTGATAATAAATAGAAAAGTAACTTCCCTATTCATTATGTAAACCACACTTATCATTATGTAAATATAAGGCCTTATTTTTACTCATTTACTAATGGGTAGCTTCCTGAAGGCAGTAGTTTGTTCGAACTCTTGTTAGTACTGATTTACATCCTGTTTCCATAGGACTGTTCCATGCAGAGTTTGCCCAACTTCTGTTATTTAGTCTGTGTAGTGTTTTGGAAGCATTAGCCTATGAGCCATGCATAACTTAATAAAACATTCTCTAGATCCTTAACTCATGTCTAATTTATTGAGCTTCTGTTCCTCTGTCTTCAGTGTCATTGATCAAGTAAATATATAATTTAAAGAGAAGTGGCAAAAACATTTATATTTTTTTGAGTAGTGTAATACTGATTTATTTTCTCAATACTGCTAAATCTCGATGACAAATTTATCAATGCCATGATAAGAAGAGGAAATGACATTTTAGAACATGTAAGGTAGCTATGTAATTCAACAATGTAATAATACTAGGAGTTAATCAAATTTCATTATTTGATTTTGCCTTTGAATAAACATAAGTACACAACATTTAGATTTAAGTGAACCTTAAAACGTCACCATTCCTGTGAATTAGTCTTTAGACAAGACTATAATTTAAATGAATTATCAAGAGAATCTATCCAAACTGTCAGCAGTTTATGTAGTGACTAAACCTGGAAGCACTGGAATTTTTCTTTTTTAACCATATTACTAGTACCCAGTATACTGCCTGACACAATGAGTGCTCAACAAATACTTGATAAAAAAAGAATCGGTTTCTAGGCTCAGAATACTCAGCTCTAAAACTACTAAATAATTCTAAAGTCACAGATACAGGCACAGATAACAATCACAACATTTATATTTTTAAGTATCCTTGTAAAAGAACTTATATGGACTTGAGTTTTTTTTTTTTTTTTCCCAAATATATTTGGGATCCTTCAGACATTTCATGTAATTGACTATATCTTTTGGAAAAATCTAGAGACTGCAGGCTTTGAGAAAAAAATTTTCCCCCCAGTGCTGGATATTGAACCCAGGTGCACTGTACCCACTGACTACATCCCCTAGGCTTTTTTTGTATTTTTAACTTCAAGATAGGGTCTTGCTAAATTGCACAGGCTGGTCTCTAACTTGTGATACTTCTCTCAGCCTCTTGCATGCCTGGAATTGCATGTGTGTGCCACCATGCTCAGTTATTGAGTCTGTCCTCTGATCAGATCATCAGATATCTTAAGATATGCAGGAGTCTTTGTCCTGAATTTTACTTTAGGATGAGGCAGAGAATAACCATCATGTAGCTGGATTGTGTTACTTCTGTCTAGCAACTTTTAAGTTACATTAGCTATCATTAATGTCTATTCCTTAAAAATACCTTTGAATGCTTAAATTTTAAATTAGAAAAAAGACTATGAGAAAACAGCATTTAAAACTCAACATAGAACGTTTTGAGACAAATGTGAAGTGGCACCTGTTCTTCAGTATTTCCCTAAAATGTGGGACTATCTTCTGTCTCTATGATGGAAAATCTGATAGTTTTAGATAAATTTGAACTAACCGTCTTTTGATGCTAGTTTTTTGTTGTTTTAATAGATTATAATCTTATTATAGATTATAGCCCTTACTTAACACTGATACCCTCAGTCACAACTGGTTTCCTATGCCAGTGTTAATGGAATCTTTCTGTGGCCAGTCCTTTTGTAAAACAAGGCAAACCTTTTTGTTCCTAGGCTGCCGCACAATTTAGAGAGAATATCCAGTAACAGTTAACAATTACTTGGTACTTACTATGGTCTAGGCACTATTCTAAGCATTTACATACATTAACATTTCATCCTAACTACTCTGACTTAGGTACTATTAGATAAGGAGATAGAGTAACAGAGTGGCCAGATAACCAGAGACCACACATAGGAGCTCAGCTTGGAAGTGTATAAACATGCTGTCTCTCCTTTATTTATCTGTCATGTGTGCTGGGGTTGATCTCCGGACTTCAGGGATGTTAAGTAAACACTCTATCACAGCTACATCTTCTACCCTTTAAATGTATTTTTAAAGGAATCTTTAATGAAAAAAAAGTATTGATTTCATCATGTATTTTGTTGCTGCTTTTGTGATCCTTGTTAAAGTAACTTCAAGAAGTAACAGTGCTGCCAGGCATTTGGTTAACTATTATGTGGTGGGTTAACTTAAAATAGAAAATTTGGTCAAGAAGAATTTTTATTTTGGAGTCAGAGAGCTATTTTAGGGACCTGCTGCCTGGAAAGGATATCCTGGGGACAGCAGATCCCTTAGTTCCTAAAGAACAGCTGCATCACCAACACAGCTTCTCCTAACCATGCTAGGGCCATCAGCAGGGTAACTGAACCCAGTTTATTAACCCCTGTTTTCTTTCCAGCTAGCTACGGTGCAGCCTGGCCAGAATTTCCACATGTTCACAAAGGAAGAACTTGAAGAGGTTATCAAGGACATTTAAGGAAGAGTGATCCTCAGAACTTCTCTGGGACAGTTTTTGTTCTCCTGATTACCCTTAAATTTTATTTCCAGCTCCTGTTCCTTGGAAAATCTCCAGTGTATGTGCATTTTTTTTATGATGTCTGTACATAAAGGCAGTTCTGAAATAAAAAAAATTGAAAAATATTGGTTAATGATCTGTACTCTTACAGTGCAGTCTTTTGAAATGTTTGTGTTAGTAGGGAGAGAAGGATAGTGGTGTTAGTATCTCTATCCTGTCAAGAGTATCCATTCTAAAATTATTTAGTGGCTGTCTATAAAACAATCAGCTCTGGCCATCAATTCCTAGGTTTTGGTAAAAGCTCAAACTAGTCGAGCTCCTCCCAGTGGTAAACACATGTTAATACCACTATAAATCCATTTCAGTCCTCTGTAGCTGTGTGTGTGTGTTTGTTACTGGGGATTTAATCCAGGACCGTGGTATAAATCCATTTCAGTCCTCTGTAGCTCTGTGTGTGTGTGTGTGTGTGTGTGTGTGTGTGTGTGTGTTTTACTGGGGATTTAATCCAGGACCTTGGTATAAATCCATTTCAGTCCTCTGTAGCTCTGTGTGTGTGTGTGTGTGTGTGTG